CGGACTTGTTTTGCATCCCCCTCGTACAGAAAGGTCTCGGCATCAAATCTTTTTATTTGTAACGGGAATCGACTCGAGATTGGTCACCCTCACGGTTATGCTCAAATGTCGAATACATCCGGAAAAGAATGGTTTTATAAAGCACGTCTTCGCCCGACTGGGTGGCCACGACGCGATTCTTCCAGCTGGAGAAAAGTCAGATGGCGAACTATAGAAAATATTGAAAATGATTTATCAGATTTCATGGTCCGCTTAACCAATTAATATCTTTCAATTAATTAAGGTTTTTAGGTGAGATAAGAAAGTCAGTGTCAAGAGCGGGATTTCGATCCACTCGGACATCAACTTGCCTTTCGAATATTTAGCCGAAGGTCTTGGGTTCGAATCCTGTTCGTGACACTGACTTTTTTATCTCAACCAATACCTTACATAAAGATTGAAAATGATTAAATTCACTATTTTTCGTGGTCCGCTTGATCAATTAATATCATTCAATTAATTAAGGTTTTAAGTTGAGATAAAAAAAGTCAGTGTCACGAGCGGGATTCGAACCCACGACCTACGGCTTGATACGCCGTTACTCTACCACTTGAGCTATCGTGGTAGAGCAGCGACGTATTTAGCCGAAGGTCGTGGGTACGAATCCCGCTCTTGACACTGACTTTTTTATCTCAACCAATATCTTGCATAAAGATTGAAAATTATATTAATTGCCAGTAATGAAACGATCAAACTGCTAGGTCTTAACCAATCAATTTTCTACCAAATAACTGTCACTGTTGTTTTTTCAAATAGTACAAATGCGCTTGAAAGATTAAAAACAGCGAGAATAAATAGGCCAAAATGGTCGGAAACGGCTAAACTTCTTTCTGGCTTAAATAGACTTTTTTCAGACTTTGTCAAGCTTGATTGTGGTGGGTCGAATTGACGAAAGAACCGCAGATGACCAGAAATATCAATGAAGTATTCATGACCTGTCCGAAATGTCATATCCTCGTATAACAAACCATTGACCTTTAAATCAATCAAAAATAATAATTGTTATCTAATTATACCCCGATATAAATGTCAATCATGTAAACGCAATGTTAATAATAAATAAATGCGACTTGTATCGACGTGGGGAAACCTTTTTGTAATATTAATGGTAATCTCCTCGGAAACCATTATTAAAACGAGCCGGCCCCGGGAGGACTAATGCAGTCATCAGGAACTACAGAGTACGACTATATTTTATTAAGGAGGGTCCGATCCCCCAGGGCTACATACGGCTCGCACCGCACCCCTGATCCCTATTTATCTCCTCGAGGACATTCGGACCTCATTTCACTAACAAAACAAACTGGACACGTACGTATTTCACGCCTGAGGAAGAAGGGAAAATTGAAATCCACCCAGATGGAAAGCCTTTATCCCCCCTTATCCTTTTGATCCGAGGAGCAATCGAGTTAAGAAATTGTTATTAAATGACGCTGTAGATAATTGGTAATTAACGGTGGGTGCGGTTGACAGAAGTATAGTTGGTTTTATTGGCCTAAGAGGAGGAAATGGAGCGTTCCCTTAACTTGACTTTTTTCCTTTATATTCTATCCTTTCCACACTATAGCCCAACTTTTAATTATCGATCCATTGTTTATCTTTGCTTTAAACCTATTATCCGAGTTATCCAAGTATGACTCACCATAAATAAACGTGCTTGCAAGTAAAAAAACATTGCACATTCATTCGTTTGAAGACTGAAAAATATTAATTCATCATGAAAAAATCTTTTAAAATTTATTACCTTCTCAACCGACAATCAAAATTACCATTAAAATCAAAACTTTCGACATACACATACCTACTCAAACCTATTTGGATGTACGGGTGCCAAGTATATGGATCGGCGAAGTATTCCAATATTCAAAGATTACAAAGTTTTCAATCCAAAATTTTAAGACTAATTGTTTCTGCCCCTTTTAATGTAAACAATAATACACTTCACAGAGATCTTCAAATCCCAACAGTTTTTTCATCCATCAAAACATATTACAAATTAATATCATTTCATTAATCCAGAGCGGCTGCCAATGGGTAGCTTTCTCTATAACGCCCATAATGCCAAACACATAATCTGAAATCCAATCTGCTGGTTGTATATAATACATGTACAGTTGTAGATACAAATAAATGAAGTAAAAAAAAAATTATTTGTACATATGACAAATTTGATCAACGTACGTTTTTTTCACAAGGACACTAACAAAACTGAACACTCTGGATTAAGGTATGGCCTTGAAGAAGAAAGCAAATTCAGTTGTTACTGCCAAGCTTAAGCTGATCATAGTTCTTGGCAACGTAGGACCCTTCTCTAAACCTTCAATCTACTAAAAAGAAAGAAGCAAATTAAAAACTCACACCTGATGAAAAACACCCCAGGACCGACAAGCAAGTACTTTGTGAAAAAAGCTGCTGGACCAAAGCTAGACAAAACTAAGGATTGAAACAGTTCTGCTAACTGAACTCCATAGGCACTTAAATTGGCAGAGAACAGTCTGTGCACCTTCTGCCAAGAAGAAAGGGATACTGCTATAAACATTATATGGCACTGTGAAGACCTGATGACAAAAAGTTTCTATGAGCAAAGAAAAGGAAAAAAATACTGTAAAGCTATGTAGGATTAAACAAGCATGGGAGCAATAGCAGCACCCGTTAAGCATGTTAAAATCTCATGGAAAAAACTGATGGAATAACACCCCTGGACAGACAAGCAAGTGGATGTAAACAAAGCTGCTGTGCCAAAGCCAGACAAAATTCCAAATTAAAACAGTTCGGCTAAGTGGACTCCATACTCATTTAAAATCATTGGCAGAAGACAGTCTGTGTACCATGTGCCAAGAAGAAGAGGAGATTGCTATAAACATTATATGCCATTGTGTAGACCTGATGACGGAAAGGTATCTTTGGGAAAGAAAAGGAAAAAATGACTACAACTTGGATGGCTTGGCAGAACCTCACAGTTCCATCATGCGTCCGAAATGGTCGTAGTAAAATCTTGTAGGTTAGTTTAGTTTGACGGTCAAGGCAAATTTTGGTCCTAGAAGCCTTCGTAGTTATTCAAGTCTTCTGTTGAGTTGTTATCTATTAAGTCTTGTGCTGTCTAGGTACAGTTTTAAGTATTTGACTTGAATGGAAGTCGGCATCTCTTTGTTGTTGATGTATTGCGGAGGGCTTGTCTCATCATTCAGGCTCTTTGCACCAGTCCAAGGGCTTGGATGTGGAAATAGCCTGGATAAGAGTCGAGTTAGAGGACAAAATTGCGGTTCAGCCAAGGATCTGCTTTCCACAATTGCTGTCGCTTTATTGAAGGTACGTGTATAGTTGATGTATTGGGGTGTATCTTTACCTCAGCACTATAAATGATATAAAGGATGGGACCAACATACTTGTATGCTCCCATGTGGGACGCATGTATTCGTCTTATTTCCGAGAACTCATCTCAATCTGACCTGGTGTGTTAGGTAGGTTCAGGTTGAGTAAGGAAAAAAGCAATTAAGCACGAGGACGGAAGTCAGTGGCTCTAATGACCCGACCCTGGCACGGGACCCTGGGTACTCGGGGCAAACAGGCAACCTAAAGGTTGACACGTTGTCCAAAGAGGGGACCAACATGGACTCTCCGGGTCCTGAACCCTACTGTGGCTTAGCATCCTGCCCCAAAAGAGAATGTATCTTAAAATGGATCCTTAATTAGGCCAACACCTGGTGGACCAAACCACAGGTATGAGGCAAGCGAAGAGATTCATAGGACCGTCCGCAAAACTTACAAAATAATTACTGGAAGGCAACCACGATTCTGGTTGGACTCCTGACAGGACATTGCCACTTAAGAAAGCACATTCACCAGATAGGAGTACAGACAGACAGTGTAGATAATGCCAGGAAGAACCGCAGAACACATTCTACGTTTCTGAGAAGATCTATGTAGGTGCAGATTCTTGCAACTAGGACAGAAAAAACTTCAAGCAAGAACGACACTAAGGAGCCTCTGGCAAAACTATGGAGGCTGATTAACAACCTAACGCTGACCAGTGAGTCATAAAAAACAGGGGAGCACAATAGATCTACTCAGTCGAGGTGTAGTAGGCCTTGTGGCCGCCTTTTTTATCCCTATCCCTAAGTAGGATTTCAGATGAAGATAATAAAGATTGAGTAAGGAAAAAAGCAATGAGTATGTGATATCAATAGCTGGCTTTTTGGATCATACTTTCCCCAACGAGACAGTCGAATGTTTTTATTCTTTTTTGGGTTTTATATTCGAAACAACTCGGGAGTGCATTCTCCAGATTCGCAATTTGGTAACCATCATTTTCCCAGCCGAATTCCCCATTAGGAGGTAAACGCGTCGGCACAATTCATAAGTGTCCATAATGATCGTTTGGACAATCCGTTTCTGTCTTGCGCAACCCGTTTTCCGACTAATGATTATCCAACGGTCGAGATTGTGCAAATCGACTACGTGTAATAATGGTCACCGTTCTGTTGGGAAACCGGTGTACACTGTACGGGCTACGTACGATGAATAGCCAAACAGGCAGTAAACACGGTGTGTTTTTTTATGTTTTTATCAAGAATATTTCAGTAGTTTCTGATCGGCTTATCTCGTCCTAGATTCCGGCGGAAAAATTCTCTACTTGAAATCTAGTTTTATTTGATATAAGTCTTATCATTTTCGCCTGGGGAGTGTCTTGAATTTTAACCTAATTTTCTAATTGTAACCGTGATTCTAGATTTCTTTATATTTTGATGATGAAATCTATCATTTTCTTCAAATGTTCCAAATCATTCAAACAACACTGCTTTAAATGCTGAAATATTTTCAAAAATTATACTTAATATTATGAGGAAACTATTCCCAAACGAAGAAAAACTATACCAAAGTGAAATCTAAGTAAAAAAAATTACGATTTAGAGCAATTCGTTTAAAAAGTAGTTAATTTACGATATCCGTGTTATTTCCAGGTACGGATCCTGTTGGAAGACCGGAAAAATGCAGCTCGCCCACCACAAGTGGTAAGTGTCGATTTTGGAAATTACCTTTCTCCCGGTGTACATGTAAAAAAAGCATGTCTCGAAAAAAAAATGGTGATATCTCATAGGCGATCGATGTCGTCGGACCGAAGCGAGGATTGAATAAATAATTGACGACAAGCGGCCACGTGACGTGATCGGAATCCTCGGGTGGAAAATTAATTACCGCTTCCCGCTGAGGATTTAAATGTTCGCTTCTAGTCGGAATCAGGACTTATCAAATAAGGGCCGTTCCCCCCTCGTGAGAAAAAAGCAAATGCGGATCATTAACGGAACGCGCTGAGCCCATATGTCCCGATGACCTTTTACTCTTAATGTCACTCAACCCTTAGAGAATCGTCAAAAAAGGGTAAACCCGTTTTCGGACACTTATACCACTTTTCTATGGATTTCGTTTTCTCTGCAACGTCATAAATGAAAACGTCCGTGAAAATATTTAGGACATCCAGAGTTGATTAATTTTATTTAAACTCTTCCAGATCTACATAGAGAATAATCGGATCAGAGATCGTCAATTTTATTCAAACTGATCCAGATCTGCATCGAGATCAGTAGTGTCAGTTCTGATTGATTTTATTTAAACTCTTTCAGATCTACATAGAAAAGAATTGGATCAGAGATCGTCAATTTTATTCAAACTGATCCAGATCTGCATAGAGATCAATTTGGTCAGAATTGATCGATTTTATTTAAGCTCTTCCTCATATGTATGGAGAATATTTATAAGTAGAAATGTTCAATTTTTGATTCAGACAATTCCCGATCTGCGTAGAGAATAGTCGGATCAGAGATCATCAATTTTATTCAGACTACTCCAGATCTGCATAGAGATTAGTAGAGTCAGTTTTGACCGATTTTATTTAAACTGTTTCGGACTATATTAAGAATATTTATAAGTAGAAATGTTCAATTTTATTCAAACTAATCCAGATCTGCATAGAGATCAGTATGGTCAGTTTTGATCGATTTTATGTAAACTGTTTCGGACTGCATTAAGAATATTTACAAGTAGAAATGTTCAATTTTATTTAGACTATTTCAGATCTGCATAGAGAATAGTCGAATCAGAGATCATCAATTTTATCAGACTACTCAAGATCTGCACAGAGAATTGTTTAACCAGTGTTAAACTCTTCCAGATCTGCAAAAAGAAAATTGCATAGAGATCAGTAGTGTCAGTTTTGATCTATTTTATTTAAACACTTCCAGATCTGCATTGAAAATATTCGGATTAAATATCATTAATTTTATTCAGACTATTCGAGACCTGCGTGGAGAAGTTTGATCAGAGTTGATCAATTGTACTTAAACTCTTCTAGATCGGCATAGAGATCATTTCGGTCAGATTTGATAGATTTTGTTTAAACACTTTCAGATCTGCATAGAGAATATTTAGAACTAGAAATGTTCCGTTTTCTCCCGATTAGTCAAGATCTGCATAGATCGGATCAGAGATCATCAATTTTATCCATACTACTTCAGATCTGCGTAGAGAATTGTTGGATCAGATATTGCTAATTTTATACTAACTACTCCAGATATCTACATTGAACATTTAGTTAGGTCAGAGATCATAATGTTATTTTATCTACTCCAGATCTGGATAGAGAACATTGGGGTCATATTTGATCAATTTTATTAAACTCTTCTAGATTTGTATAAATAATAGTTTGAACAGAGTTCGAGAGTTGAATAAGTCAAAAGTGAGATTAGCGTGGTCAAAGTTGATCAGCTTTATTTAAACTCTTCCACATCTGCATAGAGAATACTATAAACAGGGATGTTTAAATTTATTCAGACTAATTTCAGACCTGCGATGGAATAGTCAAAGCAAATTTTATCAATTTTATTTAAATTCTTCCACATGCGTAGAGAATAGATCAGAGTACTTCAATTTCATTTTGATCCCTGCACAGAGGTTATTGATGTAAACTATTTCGTATCTGTATGAATGTTGTTGTCTGGGAAAAAATATTTTATTTAAATTTCATCTAGATCTACAGAGAGTCCAGATCAAAATTGATTATGCATACTAGGCCAATCAGCAGAGATATTAATTAATTGTGTCGGAAACGATTAAATTTTATGAATTACTACCAGAATCTGCATGGAGTAGAATAATAATAATAGTTCGAGCGGAGATGATCAACATTATTCAAATCATACAGACCGGCAGAATAATAATATGGACATATATGGTCAATTTTATTCAGGCATTAATGAAAATTATTCCAGGACAGTAGAATGAATAGAATGGTCAGAAATGGTCAATTTTATTCAAACTGCGTTTACTTGACACACAGAAAATCCATTATAATGTGAAGTCATTATATATAGCCTTTTATTGTTCACAAAATATATATATAAAAACTTCCTTTTATTTGTCTTTCCACGATTCGATTGACATATAATTTCGGATGTGTTAATAAGCGTGTAGTGAAACTAATTGACCGCGAGTCTTAATTATCAACTGAATATTTTAATTGGGTTGGTACTTCGTTTTTATTTAATTTATTTTTCCCTCCAATTTGTGCAAGGATCGACAGTCGTGATGGGGATGCAAAACAGTGCCGGCGATTGGTTATGATTGACGGGGGCCCGTTCGACCCCTATGCCCTCATCCCCCTCGCTAGATTTCCCGCATCCATCCCCCGGAGTCCACTTTATTTCGAAATAATATATCCTCATCGATCAAGCCTTTAAATCATTTCTAATTATTGACATTAACCCTTAGGATCGGTTTAACTCCAGAGGGTGGTGACGCCCTTTTCAAAACCCTAACAAATTACCATTATTTTCGACAATACGCGCTGTTTAAATTTAATCAAAATAAAAGGGTAAAAGGGTATGGGTTTAATTTCCTTTTTATACAGCTGTTAACGAAATGTATTATGTACTTATTTATTTTCATCCAAAAGGTTGAAAAATCCCAAGTGATCCGTAGTTGAAATATTGCATTTATTTTTCTATTTCACGGGCGTTTCGGGCTTACGGCCCATCATCAGAACCTGAACATGATACAATTTTCCATGTTTAGGTTCTGATGATGGACCGTAAGCCCAAAACGTCCATGTAATAGGCAAAATAAATAAAATAAAATAATTCAACCACGGATAACTTGGGATTTTTCAACCTTTTTGGATAATCTTTCAATCAATTAAGGTTTTTAGTCGAGATAAAAAAGTCAGTGTCACGAGCGGGATTCGAACCCACGATCTTCGGCTAAATAAGCTGCTGCTCCACCACTTGAGCTATCGTGACCTCGATCCACTCGGACACTAATTTCCCATCTCAACCCCACCTTTTGAATTTTCCCTCCTTTTTGCCATTTTTCATACTTGGAATGAACTTTTGGATAATAATTACTACAAACCGTGATTTTAAGAAAAAGATTATTTATTTTCGAATTTTATTGTATTGTTAGTTAAATTTTATCTTGATCTTTTCCTGTCACGTTTTCATTATACATAATGTATTACGTACAGCATACATTCAAACTTCTTGGATCAAAGAAACAATTTTTTCCTAAATCTTTCGAATTTTATTATTTTGCAATTTAAATTTTATCTTAATCTTTTCCTGTCACATTTTTATAATACTACTTATATTTCTTCTCAGCAAATTCATTATAATAATGAAAATTATACAAGCTAATTCAATAAAGATTTAGGAAAAAGTTGTTTCTTAGATCCAAAAAGTTTGTATGTATGTTGTACATAATACATTATGCACAACTTATTTATTTTCGAATTTTAATATATTATAATCGAAATTTTATCTTGATCTTTTCCTGCCACTTTTTTTTTTTAAATAAATAAGAAGAAAGTTAAAAAATGACTACAATATGTTCGAAACATCGATTATTTTAAACTATTAACAGAACATAGTTGTTTTCAAATCACCACTCAAAAAACTCACCTCATAGTGCAAAAAATCTGCAGCCAATTTATAATATAATTTCAAAAACTTGGTTCCTAATCAAGTTGGATTAAAAGTGATCGAATTCGCTGATACGATGTGATTCAAAAAAGGTCCTTTTTTTCAACCGTTTAATCCCAACTTGCTTTAATACAGCTTTGCCCTGTGTCGACTGCATATAGGGTACACAAATCCTACAATCCTACATGAAAGATCAAACTACATGGAGCTTAATCAGTTTAAAACACGGTGTCTCAGATAGACATTGACAGAAATCATAGAAAGCTGCCAGAATGAAGTATAACGTGATAAAATTAAAATAAAGCATACTCAAATAAATACAGCATAGAAAATATAGTTTATAGATAATAGAAAATGCAAATGGGTTTTTGTGAACTTTTAGCTTTATTTATAGGAAAAAGTATAAGAATGATTTTATATCAGTCACCCTGAATTTTGCAGATCTGTACTATGCTAAACAAATTTTGCATAATTTAATTTGTAGAAAATCGTATGTTATACTGTTAAATAGTTTGTGCCAACGATTTGAAAGTTAGGTGTTATTTATTAATATATTATCCAAAAGGTTGAAAAATCCCAAGTTATTCGTGGTTGAAATATTGTATTTACTTTCTCTATTACATGGCGTTTCGGGCTTACGACCCATCATCAGAGAACTCTTTAACTTTAACTCATTAAACATGGAAAACCTCACGGTACAATTTTTCGAAAGTTAGGTGTTATTTATTCTCAAAATATTCTTGTAAGTTGATAATGATTTGGCTTAAAAGTCGGCCAAAGGAAAAAAGTCAAAGCAAATTAGTTGAACTTTCGGTTTGCCTTGGTCCAAAACAATTGGTAAAAGATTATTTACACTTTCATTGTTATTCCTGTGAGAGTTGGATCGAGATAACTAACACAATAACAAAAAAAAAGTTTTAACGAACAGATGCTGATCGCGGAAGCCCGTGGGGGGATTGTTTCCTTAATAAATAATGTATGTATTGGACGGATGGGTCCATTTTTAACAATCCGAAGGGTGGTTCAACAGTTGTTCAAATCAAAGGGTGGTGTAAAAAATGGCGGCACGCGGCACGAAGGGGTTGAGCGAGTGAGTGGGCACGTGGCCTGGAGGGTGGCCCACCCTTTTTTATAAATCATTAGCAGCCAGGTCCTCATGGCGATTGTTCGGCTGCGGTGCTTAATCCAATCTCTTTATCCTGTAAAAGTTTCAAACGTCATAAGAAAAACCCTTAATCTCTCAGGCCAATAAATCAGCAAAATTTTAACGTTAAAAGTTAAATAAATCGTTAAAGTGTAATAAATCTTAGTGAATTTAAATTTTAAAACAGAATTATGTCAAGAAAGTTTTTCTTTTTTTCAGAAGCTAACGGCGAAGCGGAAGATCTGAGCAACGACAGTGAAAGCTCTGGAAGCTGTTCGCCGGCCGAGCACAGGACAGGCGCGCTCAACCTGGTAAGCATCAGCATTCAAGTCATCAGCATACATCCTTCATCCGTCCCTTCTCGAAAGAGCACGTTGTTTCCAAATATCCGACCCGATCCGATAACATCCAGCTCCCAATGAATCTAAAACCTCTCGGAGGCCTGTGTAAGTAAGAGTATTAGGTAAACATAGAAGAAGGGGGTTGAAGCGAGGCAATTTCCTGTCCGGGACCCCCTCTGCACACCGCCCTGGGCCACTCTGAATATTGCCCATCTCGCTTGACCTCTCAGAAGAATGTTAACAAAAAGCAATAATCCTGATTCCCCTTTCCATTTTAACTCACCGCTCTGAAAAGGCAGAAAAATCTCACGTAGACCAAACAGGTCGAAAGGTTTCGGTTAACACTACTTATTACTTCTTTTCATAAACGTTTAATCAAAACTTCCACTTGTGACACATCCTCTCCAGCTTTATGGATGTGCCAATAGACAGTTTACTTCTTTCTTTATTACAACCCTTAAACCATTAGTTGAACCAACACTCTATGCAACAATTTCCCAAGTTGATTCTGAGGTTTTCATCCAATGAAACCTTTCTTCCAATCTTTAAATAAATTTTGAATAGATATAAACCACAATTGATCACATATTGCTTAGTCAACACCAATCTTTTCAACCTGCCTATTCTCGCTGTCTTGTCTATCAAACACGTTTCTACTTTTGGGCAGACCTGTGAAGATCGCGAGAAACAAAACGACAGGATTTGATTTCCTTGTAGTTTTGTTGTTTCTGATCATTCAGTCTTCATTCTGTGATATTCCTTTAGCTTCTCGCCATCTTCAGCGATGGACCTTTTTCCTTCTTGAAGACATCGGTGGAAGAATCGTGGAGGAATCCATGACTTATTCATTGCTGATCCTTCTGGCCTCCATAGTCTGTTACATTCCTTCTAGCTACTCGCCATCGGGTGAGGAATCTGAAGCTTGGTCGTTTCTGATCATTTTTATCTCCCTATTCTAGATGGTATGTACTACGGGTTTCGGCTTCTCGCCATACTCAAGGTTGTCATCCCTAGATCATCATTGAAGATGGTGAGATGGCGAGGATTGTCAGACCAAAATAAACGAAAACGACCAAACTACTAAATTAATCTATTGTTTATTAATATCTTTGCAAAAGATGAAGATAGATTTTGACGGTATATTGAAGGTGAAGTTGAAGTCCCTGCTTCCTGAAATTAATTTTATTTTAGGACCTGAATGGAAGTAAGTGGAGGAGCGCAGGGCATTGTACTTGGATCAATAAATACGTTAAAATATTCTAAAGTTTAAAATTTTAAATGGTTTAACTTCACCTATTACTCTCTCTGCATCCATCACCATCATTGATCATGTGTAAAGCGACATAGCCTCAAACCAGCTCAGGATGGTTTTTGGGTCGTTGAATAAAAATTAAAGTCAAATATATTTTCCATGTTTTCAGATATTTTCAATACACAATATTTTTCCAGGTGACGGATACACAGAGGCGACCCAGTAGCGTCGGTCAATCGCCGACGAACCCCACCAGTATCCAGGCGGCGATCGCGGCCATCCAGGCCGGTCAATTGGGCCAGGTACTAAGACCGTGTTTTCCAAATGATCTGAATAAGACATCATAATTTATCTTTTACAGCTAATGGTGCAGTCACAGCTGCCGGGCGCGAGCATCCAAGCGCTCCAACAACAGCTCCACCAACACCTCCAACAATACGTCCTATACCAGCAACAGCAGCAGCAACGATCGCAAGCGACGCCGACGCACACTCAACACCACTCTCAACAGTACTTCATGCCAAACCAGGGTTTGCTCACGCCCAGCATGAAACAGAGCATCACACCGCCCAGGCTTTCACATTCCGTTCAGGTATTTTATTCGTTCATTTACGTCGCATTTCTGAACACAGGGATGTATCTTAATTGTCGACTTTTCTCCCCCAGGGTGGAATACTAGGTGATACGAAAGTAAGCCCCGTGGGCAAAGTGCACAGACCGCCGATACCACAACCGCACACGTTAGAAGCGGACGAGACGACGGACTTAGAAGAATTAGAGCAGTTTGCTAAAACATTTAAACAAAGAAGAATCAAATTAGGTGAGTCTTAAATATATAACAAACCCTAATCTTTCGATTTTAACGAGTTTCTCACATAAACTTTATTCAATCAGATTATAAAATTGAAATATTTCTCGATGTTAACCAGTTAGCACTCGACGTTCAAGTCTTGTACTTCTTCTTCAGTCGTACCATTTAATTCAATAAACCAAATCAAGTTTTCGTACCACAACTTTTCTAAAAAACTAATCTCTATCACTAGGAGGTCGAATAATTATATTTAAGCAGTATTTTCTTCCATTGAAGTTTTCTTGATTTCGTGACATCAAGTTTAAAAGCATAAAATAAATTTCTTGGTCTCTCTCCTAGCAACTTTACTTATCCGAATATTTACGATTCATTTATTCAAGAAACCGGAGGATTAAAGTAAGGAATGAGCAGAGTTAATTAAACCTATTTCGATTCAAATCATGAAGCCCGTTCTTCAAAAGAGGTCAAACTCAACCGACTCGGGTTTTTGTCGACTCGCTCTAAATTTACAAGCCCAATTAAAACCGGCAATTAATTATTTGCATTTTTATTTTCAGGGTTCACGCAAGGCGATGTCGGCCTGGCCATGGGAAAACTGTACGGGAACGATTTCTCCCAGACGACTATATCCAGGTTCGAAGCGCTCAACTTGTCGTTCAAGAATATGTGCAAGCTGAAGCCACTGCTTCAAAAGTGGCTCCTTGACGCCGACAACTCGTTAAGCAACCCGAATTCCCTGAGCAACCCGATGACCACCCCCGAGGCGATAGGGAGGAGAAGGAAAAAGAGGACATCCATAGAGACGAGCGTGAGGGTCGCTTTGGAAAAGGCGTTCCTGCAAAACCCAAAACCGACCTCTGAAGAAATCTCTGTTCTCGCCGACAGCCTCACCATGGAGAAGGAAGTCGTACGAGTATGGTTTTGCAACAGGTAAGCTGTCCGGAGGTTCTCTTTAATAATCACGCTAATAAATAAGTAAGGGTAGAGTAAATTGTCAATTTTATGCATCCTGAGGCAACCAGGCTGAAAGACTAACCTGGGCAGTCATCAGCAGCCTAGAAGGACCTTTTGTAAAATGTTCAACTGCCATAAAGGAGCACGTTAAAAACTCATGGGGAACAACACCCCAGGACAGACAAATGAGTGACAGAAAAAGCTACTGCACAAAACTCAGGATTAAAACAGTTCTTAAGTGGACTCCATAGGTACTTAATCTTTGGCAGAAGACAATATGTGTTCTATGTGCCAAGAAGAACTGCTATCAACATTATTTGCCACTGTGAAGACCTAATGACGGAAAGATATCTATGGGCGAAGAAAAGGGACAAAATTACTACTAAGCTATGTAGGCTAAAACAAGCATGGGAGAGGTCATCAGCAACACTAGTAGAACTATTTTGTAAAATGTTAAACTACGATAAAAAGCTTGTTAAAAGCTGGAAAAAACTGATGGAATAACACCTCAGGACAGAGAAGCAAATAACTGTGAAAAATACCTGCTTTCAATGTTAAAAATATCGACCACTTTTTCACTCATGAACACTTAAGATCAAGGATCAAGGACTGAGTCAGTTTTCAAGGAAATTTGAGATTGCCTGCAAAAAACTTAAATATGTCAACATCTGTAGATATGTTTGAGGGTGTTTTGCCCCGATGATGACCATAAAATAGGTCAAAAGCTTGGCAGTAACCAGTGAATTTACTTTTTTCTGCAAAGTCAAACCTTGATTCAGTGTTCATGAAAAATAATTGCTGCACCAAAGCTAGACAAAACTCAGGATTAAAGCAGGTCTGTTAATTGGACTCGTAGGCACTTTGGCAGAGGAGCCTTGTTCTGCCAAGAAGAAGAAAATACTATACACATCTGGTAGTGATTTATGCAAAGGCGTGAGGAAGAAAAGAATTCTACAGGCAGAGTAAAAATATGATTATCATGTCTATATAGCCTAATGACAAACCTGAAAGTATATAGTGAGTTATAACCCGTACAGGGAGCATAATAGTCCTATCTAATGGATGAAGTGAAAAAGACTTTAACCTCACACAAACCTAACCTAACTCATATTAACTTTTTTAAACATTGTGATATCAATGTTGTTGGGTTTTGGGATGAAAAGAAAAACACGAGACACACAAGTATCACTATATTGCGTCGTACAAACTTGCTCTTACAGGACTAACTAAACTGAACTGAGGTTACAAAAGGATTACAATAATTTACATTTCTAACAAATGTGATGACCCTATAGTTTAATCGTCTCCAATTATTTTTTCTACCGCTTTCTTATTTTGGCAGTCTAAAAATTGAATGATACCGCATAAAACCACTAATTTATTTGTATTCGTTTACTTTTGTCAGGCGACAGAAAGAGAAGAGGATCAACCCACCGCCCACATCTTCAATGGGCTCGCCTGGAAGCGGAGGCAGCATGTTCGGTAGCCCTTTGACAAGTTCTCCCAGCGGTCCTCTCGCCCTCGTCGGTGGCCCGCCAAGGCCCCAGTGACCCTGGCCCCTCCACAAGTCATCACTATTTAATTGTAACTCACCCTTGTAAAACTTATACAAACAACCCACGAAAAAGTTATTCCAACTTGCCATTTAGTTTTATCCGAAAACTTTCATTGGGATTTAGACAAAAAAAATTATAATGAGTGATGCAAACGATTTAAACATCAGATAAACAAGAATGAAAAAGAAAAAAACAATTTTTTTACATTAGAGGCAGGCTATCAGATTCTTACAGAAAACAATATTAATTGTTAAATAATGTAAATAGATTATCAACATTATAGTAGATTAACATAAGGAATTTTTTTTGTTCTTTTTAACACAAAGTGCAGAGTGAAGATGATTAAAAACTGTGCTTTAACAAAGTTATCCTATTATATGATGGTAAAAGGAAATTATCTGACTTATAACATAGTTTCAATGTGTTTATATTGTCATTAATGTAACATTTATATATTTGTAAATTATAATAGGGTATGACTAAGTGATTACAATGTATACAAGGAATACAAAAAAAATCGTATAGCAAAATTCCTTCCCAAATTATTGCATCGTCCAAAGTGTCGATTACCTATTACCGATAGAACAGTTGTGAACGTGTGTGTGCAATTATTTTTACTGAAAAAAATTGATTTATAAACTAAAGGATATTATTTATATGTTAGTATTGTATAGATGAATGTATAGTATGAGGGTGTGTACAGAATTAGTTTTTAAGTTTTTCAATGTAAAGGACTTTACACTTCTATTGTATATATATTATTATGATATATTATTATAAGAAAGCATTAAGAACAATTTGACCATTTTGAAAATAACTAGAGCAATTGTTTGCTCTTTTGTTGTTTCTAATGTTTATCGGATCCTTGGAATTTTTTTGTCTGTGTTAATTTGTAAAGGCGCATTTAATTAATAATTTGCTAAGTATTTTTTTAAAAGGTTTATTTCTGTATTTATACTGTTTAATGTTAAAAGCGGCGATTCTTCTCGATACCAATTTGACAAGTTAAAATTGAATTTTAATTTGTAAAATTTGTCCCGAGAAGAACTTGTTTGTTAAGCTTAAAGTTTGTTTTGAATTATTAAAAAACTCTGTTTTGGAAAAGGCTCCAAAGAAGAATTTTCTTTTTTTAAATTTGTATTTGAAATAATGTTAAGAGTCGATCTCAAAACATTAAGAATAAAATAAACGGGGGGAGAGCATGTTACGAGAGGCATAGTCTTCCAAAATATCATGGTAGAGTTCCTAATTTAAAAAAAGGAACAATCTGGATAATGTTTTCTTTTTTAATTTATTTTGTTATATCCAGATTTTTCTTATTTTTATTTTATATACAGTATCAGTTGAAGTTATTGAAGAAATTTTTGAAAATCAATATGGCAATGTGATGTGAGGACCAACATCAAAATAGTTCCTATTCGCTTTATTAGGGCAAACTATTAGAATTTTTTGTTCATTTTAATTAGTTTAATTTATGCTCGCTTTAAACCTGTGTTCAATTTTTATTTATTAATTATTTTTCTCTTTAATTACAGAAAAACAAATCTGAATATTAAAAATGCAGGGTCTGTAATTAAGGACACATTTTATTATTTTATGTTTACATTACTTTTATGATTAATATCCCTGAATTTGACTAATCCCTCATTAAATTTATATTTCTTATGTTTTTATTTTCATTTTTGTTTATTTTTCTACCTTTCATCTATAATCCCTTTCCTTTATTTTGACATTTTATAAGGGTGCACGAAATAAATTATATGTTTGGGCAAAGGTTAAAATTTTGCTACAGCCTAGTAAATAAATTAAAAAAAATATATATATTAAGTTTATCAAAGCTTGATTTTATTTTTAATCTGCGGATGCAAATTGGACGTTAAACATTTCTGTCGAGCTTTGATCAAACTGTACTCATACCAAATTTAAACCACTGAGCGTAATCTGACGTAACAATTTTATATCCAAGAATTTGTCTAATTTTTATCTGTAATGCCATTAATTTTTTATTTAAAAAAAAATAAGGCAAATAAAAAATAATAATAATACTAATAACGTTGTAAGCATCCCTTTATTTTAATTTTAAATTGCTTCACTAAACTAAAACGTTTATTTAAATAATGGTCAGTTTTGGTCTATTCTCATCACACTGTTATTGCACACCAATTTTTTTTAATGGTGTTTAATTTTAATATTTTAACTTGATTTATTTATATTAGACGGATGAACGAACTCAGGTGTCTAAATAAATCGAAGTATACCATTTGTCAAACTATATCCAAGTAAATACAGGTGATTGATATAAGGTTTTAAGGGAAAAAAAATGCTATACTATGAAATAAATTAATATGTACCTAATCAACATAGACTGTTAGGAGTAGATAATATCAATGGCCACATGTAATTGTGCGCATGTTCAACTTTAACTTAGTAATTTTTTATATGTTGTTTTTGGAACAAAACCCAAAATGAGAGTTAAAAAAGAAGAAGAAACACAAATATAGAAAATATTAGTAGTTAAAAATATAGTGTAAAAATATTTTGTGAAATAATATAGTTAAGGTAGGGTGAATACTGATAAGCTTGAATTTCACACACATAAAAAGAATGCAAAGCACCCAAGGTATTTATTTTGTAAAAAAACAAAAGACAGTTTGTAAGTTAAAGCTGAACAAAATTCATATCATTTTCTCATTCAATTTAAAGTATAAGATTGTACTTCTCTGTTGGTATTTAAATAAGAAGAAAAAGTTAAGAACTATGTATTACTGTATATTTTAGTTGGAATGTTTTGTTATGTACAGTCCATAGGTGAGTCTGCCCGCCACCATATCATAAGGCGAGCACAAAAAATGTTTTTTAGGCTATTTTATGTGAATTTCTCTTTATAGTGTTGTAAGGTGAAGTGTAGTCATTGTAAGTGTCCCTGTTTCAGTTTTTATTATCCAAATGTACAAAATGTTCCCTTGTCAGTTGGGCAATAAATAGTCAGTCAACAATAGTATTTTCACAAAAAAAAATGTTTTTTTCAATTTCAACCCCAAAGATTTCCCATTAAACTATTGGAACGAAACTGTCTTTTCTGTTCTATTTTAACCTGAACTTTAACTAGCAGTCTCAGCATTTAAATAAACTGCTTAACAACAAAAATATACTGATTTAAATTCACTCTATGATATCTATTACAGAATTTTTTTTAAATAATTTTATTTGTACCCTGTAGTTTTTTTTTTTTTTTGGGGGGGGGCACCTATTCCCGGCACCTCACATTTCTTCCACCTCATGTTTTAAAAATTTATTTATTTTTATTTATTTATTTTAATTATTTATTTTATTTTATTTATTTATTTATTTTTTTTTTTGAAGTTAGCTTTTCTGTAGGAAGTCTGGCGATCTTTCTGGTTGTGTTCTGGGACGTGATATCTACAGTTTAGCCCTCCTACACGTGGTGAAACTATCTCATTCACTAACATTCAATCCTAGCCTAGCCTAAATGCAGGTTTCAGAGTACTCGGTATTCCTCTGAAGACCCGCCCTCGTTCATGCTAATAAATCCATACATTATGTACAATTAAAATTATGATTAATCTAAAATATTAACCTAGGTTTGTGGGTTTATGGGGTACTTGATATTCCACCGTAGACCCACCCATGCATACACTACTGTCGCACTAATAAATACATTCACTCAAACAGTAACCAACCATTCGGTATTTACAAATTAAAAAAATGCGGAGCCACTGGCGCATTTAATATTACAATAGTGTCTCCGCCCATTCACTCTAAAAGATATTATAGCCTAATACTAACGGTCTGTGAAGTACTCGATATTCCCGCACAACCCACACAATCATACTCACTTTCGCGCCAATAAATACATTCATTATACCCAAAACACACAAAGAGATATCTATCCTAATTTGGTGGGTCTGTGGTGTACTCGATATTCCGAACACTACCCATACACACACATTCTCGCCAATAAATACACTCACTTCAGGAAGGAAAACGAAACCATGTGTGGAGAAGCATTAAAGGCAACCATATGCATTTATTTGCTTCAGATATTTGATTACTTTCTTGCTGTTGTCATTGCTGTTTTGTAAAACCTCTTTCAAACTCGAGGAAAGGCCACACTTTGTTCTGTGTGGCGCCAATAGTTCGCATTCGGTTAGTAAATGCTTAACAGTTATTTGTGCACAGCACAATGGGCATCTCCGTGAACCTTTTCTCGCCAAGAGATGACCATGCGTCAGTCTAGTGTGGCCTATTCGCATTCGGGTCAACATTATTCTCTCTGTTTTCCTGACACTATCCATGGCCCACGGTCTGACCGACTGTTTTAGTTCTTTTAATTTGTCAGTCATTTTGTCCCAGCGGTTCTACCAATCTTTCCAACAAAGATTCTTCATATATTTTTTGACGTCCGCTGGGTTCATGGGAGTTTCCGGGTCATGTGGCATTATCGCTGCTCGTTTGGCAGCTTGATCGGCATTTTCATTACCTTCTATGCCGACATGGCCCGGTATCCAGGCAATAACTACCTCTTTTCTTTGTTCGTGTATTTCCCTGATTTTTTCTTGTATTGTCTGGATTAGTGGGTCCATGGTGAAGATATTACGGATGGCTATGACCGCACTGAGTGAGTCGGTGCATATGACATATTGGTTGCACCCAATGTGTTCAGTTTCATTCAGCGCGGATGATATGGCAGTCAAATCTGCGGTAAAGATACTTGCAGCCTTTGGGAAAGGAATTGTTTTAGCGTATTTTTCCCAGCATACTGCGCTGCCAACCCTCTTACTGACCCTCGAACTATCTGTATAAATGAAGGTTCCTGTAGTTATTACATACTACAAATGTGTGGTATTGAGTGATCATTAGTTAATGATTATTTGGTGATCGTGAGACCGCATCTCATGACTCCAAATAATCATATTACAAATGTGGTCACAGCAATAAAGCTTTATTCCACGGCGTGGGCTTGACTAACCTATTCACAGACTTGTGATCTGTTGTGGTCTGTTATATTCTGCCCACAAGCCATTTACACGACATGGAAAGGCTCATGGCTTGGCAAACTAGAGCAGCCACTAGAAACCATTGCGTAAATTTTCTGAATGAATTATACATTTTAATAAATAAATTGTTAAAGTTTTGATTTAAAGATCAACACTTGTGCAGTGTTCTATTATGATTTGTAGATGTTGAAAAATGAGTTCAGTTCAGAAAAAACATTCAACTTCAACAAAGAACAACAGCTTGTGGGAATGGGTGCTCGAGCTGTACTGAGGCTTGTCATCCGCCGAGCTTTTGATTCAAAGTGTATACTGTAAAGGCCGAGCTACCTTGAGCAGTAATGAATCTTTATGTTCCCACATGAGTCTGACAAATTTTAGACCAGACTCACCAAGCCAAACACCATGGTAACAAGGCTACTAACGCAGCGTCGCACCTAGAAGATATGCCATGAGAAACCAGTCAATGCAGGCACTAAAAACTGCCATTAATTTTATTAATGAATACTTAAACATGCAATGGACATGCTGCTTGTATCAATAGATGTTCAGGGGGCATTTGGTGCCGCCTGATGGCCTGGTATTCTCGGAGCTCTAAGAGAAAACAAAAAACTGTCCAAGAAAGCTATATCTCCTCTCACGAGATTACTTCACAGATAAGAAGGCATGTGATAAAGAAGCACCGGCCACAAAAGAGGCTCAAGGCTCATGCTGTGGACCCTGTGGAATATGCTGGAGTCACTTTTGACCCTTTGAAGCCAGAAACAGGCTGGAGTTAAGTGCGGAAGCAAACTCTGTTTTGCGACTGGTTTAAGAATGGGTGTTAGAACATAAAATTAAATTTAGTAAGGCAAATTCTAAGACCCTACATCTGTCTAGAAGAGTGACTTGGAAAATATCGTAATTTATCTAAACACTGAACGGCTGGAAAAGTTAATATCGTGAAGTTCCACGGTGTAATCTTTGATCAGAGGTTGAAGTGAGCCCAGATGTAGAGCATGTTTGCGAGAAGTATGAGCAATTTGTTAATTTGTTGTCCAGAGCCGTGAAAATTCACTGGTGGATTGGCAGTGAAGCACAATGTTATATATAAGAGTGCTTTTTTACTAATGATGCTTTATGCGGTCATTAATATTTTATAACAGTTCATTTTAAAAAAATGTTTGTTTCTAGTCTGAATAAGTACCACACTGGCTCTTTTTTAAAATAAACTGTTATAAAATATTAGTGACTGACGACCACTTTTTAACCATTGTAAGTAGTGAAGAAACAATGATAACCATGTTGATATAAAAATGTAAAAAAAAATATATATATTTGTTCTGTGTACAGGCGTTAACTCACCTGAGGAAGGATTAAAATAAATCCGAAACGTTGTGGATAAAAACTGGTTGTGGTTTTTTGAGATGACCTATTATCCCACCTTCAAGAAGGAAGAATCATAAGATAAAACATTTTTATAAATTAAAAAAACAAGAAGGTTCGAAGGTTGTTTCTATTGAGGGTTATTAAAGGATACCAGGCGATTTCACACAACACAGAATGTATGATTTTGCAAGCATGAAGCCTATTAGTGGATTGTATTGGACAAGCCTAAAAGATTCGAATCATCAAGCTGCGTATTGGTTGTCTTCAGCACGAATGTGCAGA